TATCAGCCACCTCCCTAGGAATGGCGGCCAGAGCTCTGGTGGGGCGGTGGGGCAGTGGGGTGTCAGGGCGAACCACTGGCAATTGAAGCACACACCAGAGATAGAAGTAGTAGTAATGAGATAGTGAGAGAGGGTGGAGGTAGTGGGCGGAAGGGCGAGCGCGGGAGAATGGGGGGGGGGGAGAGGAGGGAACGATTGCGCGCGGAAGGTGTAAAAAAGAAAGGGGCATGCCAGGAGCGCTCTCATGCGGAGAAAGGGCAGCTGGATGGCGCTGGCGGGGGACGGAATTAAACGCCCTGCTCGCTCTCCCCAACCCCTCCATTCCATCTTTTCCCCGCATTTTCCCTCCCTCCATCACACACACACACAACAAAAGCCTAGTTATCACTCACTGCTTTCCGTGGTCTGACGCCTGTCGGTCGCAGCCCCCCAGTCCCTGATACGCCCGGGCCAGGGAGTAGTGGGCCTTGGCCAGCAACAGGGGCTCCTCCTTCACCACCCCCGGCATGGTACGGCACACCACCTTGGCATGACCCAGGGCCATCTGGGCCAACCGAACCACGGCCCATGGGTCAGGTTTGGGTTGCTGGGGGGAAAAGGGGGGAGGGGCATGGCGAAAAGAAAGGCACCAGAGTTTAGGTGAGCTTGGACAAATGTACCCGTACCCATAGGCAACGTCCGCATAAGTAAATAGCTATTCACGTACAGACAGACACACACACATACAAGCACGCTCGTATACACGTCTTCGCCGCTACTGTTCCGCACTTCGTTTTCCAGCTCCGCAAGTCAGGGTCCGGGAGTGTGGAAAACATACTTCCCGTCTTCGCCAGGGCATACATATACACATACATACATACGCAGGCATGCACGCCCACCTGCATAGCCGCCTCCAGGTCCGCCTTCACCTCCTCCAGTCGTACGGCAGGAGTATCCGCCTCCAGCTCCTCCAGGAGACCCGTACCGCCGTGCTCATCCGCCGCCAGTCCCGCAATACCGCTCATGCCAAGGGGACCGGCACGGTTATTGCCATGGGTACGATGGCCGGGGCCTCCGACGGCATCCCCCCCGCCAGGCGTGACAGCATCATTGTCGTACCCGTCAGCTCCAGGGGAGGCCAGCACATCCAAATCGTCATCAGCTAGAGTGGTGGGTTCGCCTGGCGGAAGGATAAATGGAGGTGAAGTAGTGAATGGATTGTCGGGAGGGACGCGGTTAAGAAAAGAGCTAGGCGGTTATGTCGGTTAGGTAGCGACTAGCGAGGGGGTTAGGTAATGAAGCGGCGGTTGGGTAGCCAGGTGGGCGCGTGGTTTCGCGGATAAGGATTAGGCGCTCACCCTCCACATCAATAACCTCCTCGTCCGACACGATACTGAAAGCCGCCCGACCTCCACGAACAGAGCTTGCGGTCACGCTCCGCGCGCTGCGGGCGCTACGAGCACTGCGGATGCGCGCTGCCGCGGTGGCGCCGCGGCCGCCTGCGCCGTCCGCGTGTTCGTCGGCGGCGGCGGTGGCAGCCGCGGCGGCGGTGTCCAGTCGTGCCACTTTTTTGAGGTGGAGGTTGGTGAGCGGTGCTGGGGGAGGGCGGGACGCGGGCTGCGAGAACATACTCCGAGATAGCTGCGGTTGTAGATCGTGCCGCGTGTGGTTGAAGTGTATTTGCAAAGGTGGGTTTTGGGGAGGGAGATTTTCGGGGGTTGAGAGCGGGTAAGAGGATAACGGAAACGGGAAACGGATAGCTAAGGCGGAAGTCAGCGAGTGTAAGCGCAGTGGGGAGCATGTACTGGATTATACGGGGAGGGACAGAAACGGGGAGGGACAGAAAGAGTTCCCAAAACCCGTGGTTTATGGTTTTCATTGTCCACCTCCTCTATATTCTACTTTTGGACTAGGTAATAAATAAAGCTCACTTGCACGGGATCCACCTCAGGCGGTGCCAAGAGCTCCGCATCGATTAGCTGCCCCGACCGGACGCGACCCGCTGGGCCCCTTGCCTCAGGTGCTTGAGGAGGATAACTACTTGCCATCTGTGGTCATCCCGGGAACAATTACAGGTTGGCAGGAAACTCGTGCCATGAAGGACAGCAAGGGCCGCGCTACAACGAGTTTACACTTTTCGATCAAGCGAGGGAAATTATCTTTATAGAGCGTCGATATTGGAAAGCAGCTAAGCAAATATGCCTCTGTCAGCCGCGAAATCAACATCAGCTGCTAGTCCAAACATACAAGCGAGTCATCACTTTCATAAGGCAAACGTTCATGCTTACCTACAATGGAGAACGGATAGTGCCTCGTACCAAGCGTTGTGTAAGTTGCCGAAGGCTCTAAGTTCACAGCTCAAGCGTTAGTCAAATGCGCTAGCGACACATATGCCGAAAATAAAATTCAGTTTATGATAATCCGACTGATCTACGTTCCATGTATACTCCCCGTTCCTTAGCGACGACTGTAACTCTGCTCCGGTAGCAGGTGCCACCTTATGTCCCTGTCTGCCCTTGGGCTGCGATACTACTACACAGTCGTCGTATGCTAATCTGCTTTGTGCATAACACCCAAGGAAATGGAAAATCTCCAAGGGATTGCTTCATTGTCGGACGTGTACGGATTGCTAAACTCTTCAACCACTCTTTAGCATGCTGCTGGTTTCAGCCCCAACCATCTGATATTTGCAAAATACTTGACATTGGTCGATTCGGGGACAGCGATGGGTTTGGATTCACCGTGTATTCCGCCCTGCGTGTATGGTGACGGCTAGCGTCAAGTCCTCGTTCAAGGCATTTTGGGAGCGCTTATTGTGATTATGAAGCATCAAGGACGACGTTCGGCAGTGGCTACACCCGGCTCACCTTGACTGCTGCATGCCTTGACTGCTGACCATGTACCCGGGCCTCTCCAGCTACAAAACCTCCCACCTACCACCAGGCCACGCGACCCGCACTTGCCGTTTTTCGACCACCATGGGACGCGAACCCACAGCTGCGGCCCACGGGGCGTACCGAAAAGCATAGCAACGTGTGTTCATGAACAATTCGGCCATGTTATGAAGCCACGGAGAAAAATCCCAGAACGAAATTCCCTCTGGCGCCTGCCCACCGAGTCCACCTACCGCCTGGCCTCCATGAGCTAGTACCCTCCTTACAAACGCACATGCCTTCCTGTACCTTAGGGCGTGGGCACTAGATCCGCGAGGGCAGCAGGTGGACGAGAAGCAGGCGGGAAAATGGCGGCATCTGAGGACGCATCAAGCGTGTCACATGGACAGCGTCGGTCATGCGTGTTTCGGGGGTTGCACAAAAAAAACATAAAACAGGAAAGACACCAATTTCCGTGAGCATGCATATCGACATGCCTATCGATGTCTTTACCAACCGCATTAGTCCAAACAAACCACTTCTTGAGTACACTCACATCATCGTGAGGCAATCCCTCGTCCGGTGTGTTCTGCTGGCCGGCCGGCCTGGGTGTGCAAAGCCCCACCCAGGCCCCCCAAGCCGAGTGAGGCGCGGCAGGGACAAAGGACACAAGCAGTTGGTAAGCCCGGGCGACGCAAAATACGTGGAGCATGACAGGAAAACGAGCACAAGTCAGGAAATGTGCATGACGGAAAGAAAGGCACACGCGGACATAGTCAAGGAGTAGTCTCCGCATTGAATGGTGCATGGACTTGCCATACAACAGGGATAACACACAGCATCACGAAATGCACAACGATAAGACGCGGATATGAGCTGATCTACAATCGACTGAACGAAGGCTCCTCAATACCGCGGGGCTTCTCAACACCTACCTTCCGCGACCTGTGCCTGCTCCTCATGGGCGACCTGCCAGAGGGGACAGAGAGGAAAAAGAGAGTCAGACTGAAGCCGGTTCACTCCCGCTAAAACACATGCAACTTTGGGCGAGTTCGTCGTCGTTCCCACCTTCATATATTTCCCAACTACGATTTGTGACAATGTGTTCAAATGGCCCAGAAGCCTCCCACCCTGTAACGATTCAATTCAATTTCCCAACTGGTTGTCGTCATAAAACAATCGACCAACGACACAGAGCCCGAAGAATGGCCGAAAGCGGCACTTAGGGTTCCGACATGTATTCCATCGCGCCAGCTCCATGTCGGTGTTGAGAAGCAGTCAACCCCAGCCAACCATTCCGCAGCCGTCAGGAGCCGCACGAGAAGGTATGCACGAGCAACAGGGAGAGGCAGGCAGAGGGGGTCCTTAGCAAGCATGGTACGGCGAGGGAAACGGCAGTTTATGTCGCTGATGTGAGAGTGAGGGTGCCGGGTCTATCGTGAATGCCCGGAGCCTTCAACTCAAGGACGAGGAAGAAGATCCAACACCCGCAACAGACAAAGTGACAGCGACAGGTTCCTCGCACGCACAGACGTATGTAATCATGTACGACTGGCGGCCGGTAGCGCTGTCCTGTCTTTGCTGTGACGTTTGGCTGACCATCTTTCCTAGGGTGCTATTCTGGGCTGACCTGAGCTGCTACGGCGAGGATTGAAACGTATTCCTGGAAAACAAGCAGTTCAACAAATAAGGAATTCCAATATGGTTCGCTGTGGACCTCCAGGACAAGAGCAACGAAATTGCGGTTCCATGGCTTACCGAGCTTGCTGAGAGCATTCCAGCCGAGTGTGGTACTCCTATATAGGCTAGCAGTCTCAACAGTTATCATTTAGCAGCCTTGCGCACAATTGACCTTCGCTGCTAACTTTTATCATGAAGTGACAGCCCAAGCATGACGTATCGCACTGGTGACCTGATGTGCTTGATGTGATAGCTGTGCAGTAGCACAAAGTTAAGGATGCCAAACCTAGCTACAGTCGCGGTTTTGAGGGCCAATTGTAGTGGTTTTGGGACAACAAATCCAGAAGCCTTGTCCCGTTTAACTTGGCATACACAAGTATCTTAACCTATAAAGTTGTAGTTAAGCGGTTCTGAGGCAACAGGCTGGACCTCAAATACAATAATGGCTGGAGTCTGTCAGGTGCCATACATCATGCAATTTTAGAGCACTCAGACGACTGAGTTGGACTTGGTCGCAAAGAATTTTGAGAGCAGAGAATAACGATACATGAAAAAATAAGGGATAAGGGAAAATTGTCCCAAAACCGGCAAAATAAAGGGACATCAAGAAAACTGCAAACTGTGATGACGCCAAGAGTTCTTCAAATTACATAACAACTTAACATAACAGTACTATGCTGTGCTTGGGACAAACGAAAACGGCCCAGAACTGCGGTATCAATGGATGCCGTCTCCGCAGCGATCTTGCTTCAATGGATAAAAGTTAAACACTAGCCGCTTATGTTAAGTACCGAGACCTCAGGTTATACGGTAAAAGCCCGAACTTTAGCTCGCACGACAAGAACCCCAAGTAACAGCAGGTTGCAGCAAAGGTACGCAGCCAAACTCATCCATCGTCGAGTGTGCGCGTGCGTATACCGCGTCTGTTGTTCTCGTGCAGGTGCGCATTAGTGCATGCAAACCGCGGGGAAGAACGAGATCCGCGCGTATCCCTTCATATCAGCTCATTTGTGTGGGAGGCAAGCATGTCGGGTGCTAGTGGCCGCGGTGGGGACAATGTTGTACATGGGGTCTACTTTACTGTGACCCTATTTACAAACCTTGGGCTGTATGTAGGCTAGAGTAGGCTAAAACAAGAGTTTCCCCTGCAAGCAGCATCCAGCATAACGTCGGTTCACTCTTGCACCATGCATGCTTACCAGCAAGTCTAGGGATGGCCTTTGGTTGGAAGGTCAGTCGCAGCGAACCTTTCACTGGCCTGGGTTTCACCCAGTTTCACTGCTGCATGATAGGCCCAATTGTAAAGTGGTGAATTGTAAATGCATGGTGTGTCCTAACATCGTCCTTAAATGTAGTCTTCAGATCTGTACTACAGGGGGTTTTGGCCGTACGTGTGAACACACCGCCCAAACGGGTTTGGCTTACTTAGACACGTCCTCTAGAAGCACATTTGCGACAACGGCTGTTTTGCGCCTGAAACTGCGTTCCACATGCACAGAAGCATATGCCGACTCCAGCACCGCCAAAAACGAAACATTTCTTTCGCGAAATCTCGAAATCCCTTCGGATCGGTTCGGTGAATGCAGTCCCACGCGCCCCGCTCGCCTTTCCTCGGGCCCAGGCGTTCATCAAAAGGGTCGATTAAGATGTGTTTACTTACATTCACGCCTTGGACGCTAGTTACCAGACGCCTCGCCCAGCCAAGCATCTGTGCGATAGCAGTTTGGAGTGTTATCCTGGCCCGAGTGTTACCTCGTAAAACCACAAAAACCGGCACGAGCATAGCATCTTAAATTTGGCCTAGGGATTCCAGTGATGGTAAGAGAACCGCTGCCAAGCGGTAGCCATATGGGCCACCGTCCACCGGCCGCTGGCGGGGGCCGTCGCGACCACTTGTGCCTTCAACTGAGCCGATACCCTAGGGCACATGCACAGCTTCGTCGCCAACAAATGGGCCGACTGCGTTGGCCCGCGGACCAGCTGGAACGACCCGCGGGTCGAGGGAAGCAAATTGGAATCGGTTGAACCGGCACCGTGGAACTGCATGGAGCCAAGGCGGTGCTCACAGCTTCTTGAAGCGGTACCGGTAGCCGTGAAGCCGCTGGATCTGATAACCAGGACCAGGTTCCGGCGCGCACAACAAGCGAATAGTAGAAGGGGAGAAAAGATGATACAAACTGTCGAAAAGCAAGGGGATGGAATTTTGAGAATAATTGCAAATGCGTTCCAACCTCGATGGGTGTGCCCCAGGGGAGCCGGAATGAGCCGCCATGTGGCAGACCGAGGGGGGCCAGGGACCAGCTGGGAAGGCAGCTTCGCATTCGCGACACCTCACAGAACACTCAAAGAACATAACCACCGACAGGTGTGGCCCACCAACACCTGCCTACATGTAAAAAATCTGCCGTACTCCCATAGCCATATCGGAGTACGACAGTTTTTAACGTCCCATACAAAGCACGAAACAGCCCCGACCCTCCCTCCCATCTTACCTCCATCCCCGGCTGGACGTTGGCAACACCTTCTGAGGCCTGCTGCACGGGCAACACGTGGATCGGAACATGGCAATCAGGGCAGGCATGTCAATGACGGCGGTGAAACATACACGCCCCCCTCCC